TACAGGTGACTGGGGAGGAGGGACATGGACAGTGTTACTAGACGGGAGCCTCAATACACTGGTGTGTGTGTGTGTGTGTGTGTGTGTGTGTGTGTGTGTGTGTGTGTGTGTGTAATGAATGCGTCTCCTCTGTTATGTAGAAATATGTTTACATGTGTCTCCCTTATGGTGGCAGCAGCAGGAGCTGTCTCTTAGGCTTCGCTCTCCCCAGCTGAAGAGGTGTTCTGCACTTCCTCCTCCAGGATGGGAACGATCAGGTTGTCCTTGGACATCAGGTTGTACTTCATCACGAAGCGTGTGAACCGGTGACACAGGAACGTTTCATTCTGCACACAGACATATGTAGCAATGATCACACTAGCCAGTTTGTCTCCTTCACAGCACCCAGTGTGACTCCGAGACTCCACTGCTGGAAATGTTTTGTTCTAAAGCTGAACGATGAGAGGCATTTGTGTGTTTCTACTTTATGGATTCAGAACACTCTCCTGTCCTATGATCACGTTCCTCTTACTTTCTGAGAAATAAGTATATATGAACCTTAATCCTCATGATGGCAGACAACAAAGCATGCTGCCATTTAGGGGTGGGCGGTATAAACGGTATACGGTAGAGGTTTGGTCCGTTTACAGCACCCTGCCATGTGATTGCATTTGTCCCTAACCATCAGGAACCCTCACGTTAACTTTTATTGAGTGGAAAAAAGTTAGCGTTCATCCTCCAGCTTCACTGTGTTAATGTTATGCTAACATAGCTGTGTCGCTACGATCACGTAGCACATCATTATATACCAGCTAGCCCAACTTCAGTAACCCTACAAACGTCACTGCTGTTTAGTTTTCTGTCTTCATTTATGTTGGAAGTGATAGCAGAGCTGTACGCTTGAATTTTTTCAGAAATCTCTCAGTCAGAACATGCTATATCATGTTTAGGTGGAAGCTAGCGAGCTAACTTCTAACTCTAACTAAATTGAATAAATCCTGTTTTCATGGACGTCTGGATGTTAAACTTAATTGTTACACCTGGTAAAGCAGCAACGATGATCACTTTATTAAAGATGAAAGAATTTAGACAGTTTTTAACTCTCAGTGATGCTGCAGTGTTCGTTTGACTTTGGGACCTGAAGCAGACGGAGTTTTGGACCCAGATTGCTCCGTGAGGCTCCAGACTACGGCAGCCATAACGCTCCAGCAATCCATCAAGCAGTGTGGCTTCATAGCTTACCAGAGTCGGACTAAAACATTTTTGACAGATTTCTGCGCGCCGTGTACCACATAAAATCGGTTCGAGGTCAGTAAGCACAACCAGAATTCATATAAAGGCGCACTGTCGATTTTTGAGGAAATTAAAGGCTTTGTAAGTGCGCCTTATAGTGTGTAAAATACTTTATACAGAAGAATATATCGCGATATATGTTGTTACCGCACATGCTTCATAGTATACCATGATATGGATTTTAGGCCATATCGCCCAGCCCTACTGCCATTGCTGCTGAATTCACTTCAAACACTTCATAAATAAATAAAGAATAATCAAACAGCTTATCACAAGTGATTTTTCTTTTTTTTTTTTTTAAACGACACTTGAACCTAACATTAGCTAGCATAATGTTAGCTTATAACAAGCTGTTCAGCTGGCTACAGCAGGGTCACGTGTTTCATCTTCTGACAAAAACTGTAACAATATTGTAATAAATAGGCATGTTTATGTACATTTTCTTATGTTGGAGCCATGACTTGAGTTCAGGAGATAAGGTGGAAATAAGGGAGGACACAGCAGTGGTGAGTGAGGCAGATGAAGTAGGAGGAGAACTGTGATTAAAAAAAAAAGACAAATGTGCAAATCTTAAATCTTCACTTACAGTTTCAGAGTTGTGATTTGGACATATCGACAAATAATTGAAAAGAAAAACTCAAAATAACCCTCCTTGGATGGGATGCCCTGCTGATGGTAGCTAGTTGACACATCATTCAAATTCTTCTTTCCTTAGACATTATGGACTTGTATAAATAGTCTTTTGTTAAGCTATTGTGAACAAACTGCTTATATCCCACGCAGCAGCTAGCTGGCTAACGTTAACGTGCTTGCTCACCAGTGTCACCATTAAAAGGCTGAAAGTTTGATTTGATGCATTGACGTGGAGTCTGTGTGTAGTTTGCTGCCACCGAGCACAGTGGAGGTAAAGCACTGAGTGATTGTTCATAAGCATCATTTCGATGTCTGCAGAGAACTGATCCACAGTTTTTCGTGTGAAGTCACTCAAAGATGGGGAACACCTCACTTTTTCTATGTTTTGTTACAATCAATTTAGCAATTGAAATGGAAATGAAATGGGGAAAAATTAACTTGAACAGAGCACATTTACTTAAAACCAATGATGAACACACTAAAAATACAAAAGAGACTATATGAAAAGACTATAACAGTCTTTATGGCCTCTTCAAGTTTGGTTTCTGTAACAGCAAAAAGAAAAAACAAATCCATATACCAGGAAGGAACAAATAAAATCACATTTTAGAATTTCTAGCTTGACAGCAACAACCAGAGAGCGATGGGGAGCAAAGGTTGTAAACGCCTACCTCATACTTGTCAAATATCTGGCGATGATGGAAGTAAGCATGAGAGAATATCCTATAGATGCGACGACAAACAGAGCCCAGCTTGGCCACTGATGACTCCTTGATGCTCACCCTGTAGACACAAACCAGTGGTGATTTAGCTTGTGCACTGGGAGCATCACAGCATGGGTTTCCATAGCTGAGCAGCTGCTGGTGAAATGTATAGGTGCCCCATTACTTTGTCCATACAAATCTAACTATCCAACCTCATCTAAGGCACTGTAATAAATGTGCTTTAGCCTGTCTACAGTGTGCGCACATGCAAGCCACGTTACAACACTCCAACACTTTATTCCGTCTCTCATGTAATCAAGTCATGTCTGTGGTGGCTGATGCCTGCTCTGGGTCTCAGAACAGAGTCAAAGTCAAACAGCAATTTAAAGTAATACAGTTGTGCATAACTTTTAATAAAATTCTGGCAACCACCAGCACTACCCCACAGCTTCCTAGCAGACACACCTGTGGTATGAATTTGAAAAATCCTACATCCCCCCTCGTTCTCGAGTTGTCACATTCACAAGGGTTTTTAGAGAACTTGACCTCTGACCTTTAGATCGAGGTCACATTTTTTTTAAATCATCCGAGATTTTTTAGTAGAAGCACCTATTAGAGTCAATTTGAAGCTTGAGTACTTTTGGAGCTTGGATACTGAAATCAGATGCCTGCTAAAAATGATGCCTCAAGAGTATTAAGAGTGAACAGAAACAGTCTGGTTATTCAGCTTAGCAGCTAAACAATGACCTGAAATTGATTTGATACTATTCTATAAATTATAGCTTCTTAATGGAAAATGACTGACCTGCTGGGGAAGTATTTGTTGCTATTAAGAAGGCAGGCAGCTCCGTCCAGCGTGTGCCTGGTGTAATCGATGGCAGGGCACTGTGGAAGCAGCAGCATCACAAAACACACACAAACCCATCAATGTGAGAGCAGCTGCTTGAAAAGCTTGAGTGACAGTTGGAAGCTTTGACTCACTTCTTTGGGTGTCTTGTGGGCAGCACATAAAAAGATCCACTGCTCTGTGGCTGTCATCTGGGTGCAGGTGTCTGGATGGCACTCACTCTGCAGGCAGAAACACCAAAATCACTGCAGCTAACAGTCTCTTACTAAACTAACTACTTGATGTTCCTGAACCCTTCTGCACCAGAGAGAAATGGTTTACAAAGAGTAGCAAGCCTACATGCTGCTGACTTATGTGTCAATGACCATTTTTGCAGACTGCACTATTTTTTTAAACCTTAAATGAGACCTGATTCGGGATCTATAGAGGATTAAGGCAAATTTCTAGGGGTGAAAGAATGCTCAAACCCCAAAATTACCAAAGGAAGTTTGTGGTGATTTAGTGTACTCACCTGCAGTTTCACAGCTAGCCCGTTGAGCTCCAGGCAGAACTGCCTACAAAAGGATCCAATAAAAGCAGAGTTAGAACAAAATATCCTCTGATCACATGATTTTTTCTTCTGCAGCCAGGTTTTAGCCCAACTGTGAGCACAAGATTTAAGCAAGTAGAGATCGCCTATACTTCACTTTTTTTTTCTTTTTTTCTTTTTTATCTGAAAGCTCCTCATATCTGAACAAAGAACTGGTTCAAAGAATCTCTAGAAACGGCCTGGTCTACATATTCAACTTAATTTAATAATTTCTTCAGAGATGTTACTAAAAACTGATTGCATGCAGTAGAAATAAGCACAGGACCGAACACAGAACTAATGAAGCTTACAAAACATTTCATGTTTTAGAAACAAAAAGTACGCTATATATTTGCTATACTGTGTAGGAGCTGCCAGCATATAAAAGGACATTTTATAAATGCTTGTCT